GCCCCCATGGCTGATCCTTCAGCCTCAGGGGTCTTGGAGCATGACGGCGTGTTGCTACTTTCTCGAACCTTGCCACGGTCCAGGTTTCGCAGGGCGGACCTGCATAGCCTGCGGCAATGCCTCCTTGTCTGATAAGTCTTAGGATGGCTTGCTGTTGGTTCTCATCAGTCAGATTGCCATGTTCCGCATTGACCATAACGTCCAGAGAAATGACGAAAAGCAGGGTTGCATCGGGCGGATTGAGTCCCTCAAGCGCCTGCTGCAGGTCCCCAACCCGTCTTCTTCCGCTGAAAAAACTGCCCATGGGCTGTTTAGCTTCTGCTAACCCAGGAATCCATAACATCCATTCAATCTGTTGGAAGTCTCGATGCGAGATCAAAGCTGGCTGTGGCTCGACTGCGGCTAATTTAGGTGTCTTGTAGACCTCTTCCGCCTTCCAATAGGTTCGGAAGGTTCTAGCCCAGTTTCCTTCATTGAGCCTAATTCTGTCACAGCTCATGGTGACTGCTCGGCCTGGCTCAATCCTCCAAACCGCGAGGATGAGCCCCTCCCTTGCTTCGTAAAAAGGGAGGGTTTCAATCCACCGTCGAAGATCATCATTCTTGACGAAGTTCTGTGTCGCGAAATTTGCAACCCCGTGATAGGCCCGCTGGTATTGGATTGCATGCGCATATCGCGCTCCAGCTATGGTTTCTCTTTGTTCTGCCGTTGTTTGCATTAGACTCATTACATCAGCAATGTAATCTCTTCCTTGGTCTACCCTTTGCCCAAGGTGGGCACTTGTGCTCTCTGTTGTGTGAGTGCAAACGTTTCCATGCCTCTGTGCTTCAATATGCATTAGCTCCCCATGCTTCCAGAATCTCTGAAGCTCGAGTTCGTGACGCTTCCTCAGAGGATGGAAGGGAGACAACGCGCAGGCACAAAAGTTATCCGAAAGAGCACTAGATTGTCTTATCAGAACGGCAGCCGGAGACCCCGTACCGAAAACCACAAGGTGCAACATCTGTCCATAAGTTTGTTCATCTGGCTGTGGACTGATAGTCCGATACGAGCACAAACTAGGTGGGATTGCATCACTCCAAACTCGGCACACTTCTTCCTGAATATTACCGAAATGCTGCGGCTCCAGAGTGACGTCCTTAGCTACTATATTGCAGCTATGATGGGGTGCGAACCATACCTTGACAACTATAGGACGGTCATCAAAACAGAAGTCGTCACCCCTTTGTGCTCGACTGACTATAGGTCCCCTCTCAACAAAAGACGGTACTTGTGACCTATTATTGAGAACAAAATCGCCCAAAACCGTGCTGCCTGCGTCAACACCCTCGCAAAGATTTAAGATGGACCTATTCGAAACATCTAAGCTCCGCTTGGTGGACAGCTGGCAATGACCTTCTACGTCGTGTTCATCGACAATCGACAAGCATCTACCCTCACAAGGCCTAGAAGGGTATCCGCATCCATCAGAGGGGAGAAACAATGCCTCTGGTAGGGCACTCCCCTCTTCCACGCGAACAAGAACAGGATGATCATGTGATCCGTTGGCATGACTATCACAAGCACGCAAACGTCGCGATTCCTCTTGCTCACACATCAAAACGTTGGGGTCGGATCCCCAACTGCAGCTGGGCTCGGCATCGCACTGAACACCCCCCGGTGACCGGCACTGGTTGACCAGACTGGGTTCCTGACTGTTCTCTCTTTCGGGAAAATGTCCAAACGGCCCCTTGCCCAAGCCTCTACTCCCTGGGTCAGTCATATCTGCGTTCTTGATAGTATTGCTGATTCTACTGCTTTTGCAGACATGACAAGACTACACATTAGGAGATACCTAATCCTGACTCCTTTCACAGGACACTTCGAAGACGGAAATCTGTGCTTGCCCAATTTGCGACATGTCCCCATGCGATCGATTCTCAACCGAATGCTAGCCCTGACGCATGTTCCCGTCAATAGAACCATGATTGGAGTCCAAATCACATTCTTAGCCACATCCAGGTGGATATGCACACCCCCAGAGTGAATTAGCCTCAAGGTGAGCATTGCAGTGTAGAACCAAACTACTCCAAGCAGTGCACTCCACGAACGAAAAGCCCACTTCCTGACAAACCCCTTAAGGGTCATCGAGAAGGCTTTGGTGCTCCATATGCGCAGTGAGGTCGTCAAACAGACAACTAGCGCCACAATCGATATGCAATCGGCTACAACCTGTTTGTCGAGCGATATGCTTAATCTATCTATTACGAACCAACATTAGGCAGTTGGTAGCTTGCCACATGTTGCATGCTATTGAAACACATGAACCTGTACCATGAAGCAAAGCATCCCAGAGACTGCCGATTCCTGCTCCAATCAAGCTCGAAGTCGCCACTTGAAAAAAGGCGCCACTCAATGCTGTCAAGGAAAAAATCTGAATATCGAAAGGGGACTTGCTCATCCGAAGCTTATAAACCCCTTCCTCCTGCTGTTCGAACGGTGTCATCCCATGCGCTCCAGCGAGTTGGAAGCGTCCCTTCTGGGACTTCGCTCCCTTGAGGGGGTTCTCGACGGAATCTCCTCGTTCTCGATCTTGCGTTGGGCATTCTCGAGCATTTTGCTCCTCATTTGCCTTGCCTCCAATGAGGAATCGAATCCCCCTGCCACCAGTGAGAACGTTCCTGAAGGCTTCCTCGCAACTTGAGGTGAGGTTGCATTGAAGGGGAACTCCCCCATATTGGGTCCTCCCCCTGTCGAATATGCTTCCATTTTTTGCTGCAAAAATTGGATCTGAGCCTGGGAATCTGCTAACTGTCTTCGCAGCTCCGCTTCTCCCAACTTCTCGACACCCGAAGAGGTGTCCATTCCTTCTTGCTCTTTTGCAGCTATCTTGTTCAGCTCGTCTTGTGTCTCCGCAATCGCTCCCTCCAGTGTCTTGAGATCGCTCTTGTAGGCTGCCTCTTGTTGCTGATGGTGCTCCTTGACCTTTTGAAGAAAGACTTCCCAAGATGCTTTCTTCTCTCGAACCTTGTTCTTGAGCTTGTCCAACTTCGCTAAGAGCTTCTTCTTGGTGTTCAATGTCCTTTGTTCGCTCTTCAAATCGTCCAACGGACCTAACTGGAGGAGTTCCTTGAGCTGTCCTTCTGGCGTAATATCCTTGGAGTGGAGGAAATCCAAAACTTCTTGTTTCAGCTGATCCACTCCCTTGCCAGATGCAGAACCCGAGGAGGTAGGCATAGTAGATCCCAAGGCCTCGTAAGCCGGCAACTCGGGACCTTTGCTTTCGGAGGGCTTGCCTTTTCCCTCCTTCTTCTCCTTCTTCTTGGCGGGTGGCCACACATTCCATGCTTGCCAACTCGCCTGCTTTCCCTTTCCTTGAGACCATCCCATCCGTGAACCGTGATGGGATGCTAGTCGACCAACCGCAAGGGCAAGTCTTCTTCTCTGTCTCTTTGGCAGGTAGGTTGCTTCCTTCTTAGAATGCCAAAGCCGTCTTGCACGAGAACGCTTCGATCTCAGCTTCCGATGCCAGGACGGACTTGGTGCCCTCTTACCAAAGCTGCCAGCCGGCGTCCCTACCACCAACCAAGCGAGCAGAAATGGCGCACGGCACGTGAAAAGGCGGATCAAGATTAGATCCTGGGGCCCTAAACGTCAACGCAGCTACTGCGTCCTTTGAGCCCTGAAGCTGGAAAGTACAAAAAGACAATACAACAACTATACAACTAGAACTCTTGTTTCTCCTATCATTTTGCAGCATAAGCCTTGACTCCTGGTATTGGAGGATGTTTGATCGTCCGACTGCAGCTGTGGCCCCGTGAGGGGTTGTTTAGCGTTAAACTCATGGCAGAGCAGCTCACAGCAGTCAGAGGCGGGTAGTGCTGCAGGGTATCAGACCAAGATTGAAGAAATCCCTGGGAGCCGGCCTGGTAAACACAAACTGCCAGGCCAGGGTTTTGAATGTGATTATCCTATTTTCCTGCGTATGTGCAGGTGTGTTTCTTTGCAGTAAGGTGCAGTGTCTTCCTCGGTGCGTTTTCTCGATTCAGCATAGTTAAACAATTTCTCTCTTGGATCATCTTGGATCTAGAATGGAAATAGCTGGCCATGCTTGTTTTGCACCTGACAGGTTCAAATATGTCCAACGCTGTGGCAGATCGTCACGCAGATGCTTGCTTCAAACTCAAACATAGACATCGCGTTCGGTGAGAAGGGCAATTGACGTGTTCGGTCATTCAGCATCATTCCTTGCCCAAGTATCATGAATGTCTCCGCAGCTCACTCAGGACCTCTGGACAACATTTGCATCTTGGCAGGAGCTTCGCGGCCGGTCGCTCCCAAACTGCAGCAGTAGTTGCGGCCGGTCGTTCACATAAGATGCACAAGGATCAACTGATAGGAAGCTTTGCGGCATCCATGTCCGAACAAGAATCTTTGCCATTGATGGACAAAAGCCCGGATGTGGAGGGTGTACATTGTTCCGACTTTGAATCATCACATACAATAAGCATCCTAAGCTATAGTATACATAGATTTACCCTCTTTGCTGCGCTTGACTTGTGTTGAGTCCACAGCCGGTGAACAGTTTGTTTTCAAGTTCCTTCCCTCCAATCGCTTCCACACACCACTTTCTGGGTTTCTGGGAGAGATCTCACTGCTCAGTGGTTTTTGGACCGTATATCAGTGACCTTCTACCCATCACCGTTTAATTACACAGCTTTGGAGGTTCGACCGCACCAACCTGATAAGGTCGTAAACACGGTTCTGCAAAGGGTTCATATGGCTATGCGCATGGCATGTCCTGTACACCGCTAAAATACTCTACGGCACGCTGGACATGTTGGCACAATGCAAAGGGCTGGGCTGGGTCGGTCACACGGTCACGTGACTGCCAATAAGCAACAAGTCTCATGACACTGCTACAATGGACGGACCTCAAACAGCAAGAGTCTTCTCAAAAAGAGTCTTCTCACAAGCATCAGGCTTCAGCATTTTGATACATCTCATCATCTCATCGTTCTTTCTGGGCCTTCCTTTGGTCCATCGATCTTGAACACACGGCTCGGCCGCTGTGAAGCCATGAACCCATGACTGCGCCGCCGCCCGGGTACCATGGCTGGGGCCCGCCTCCGCCGGGCTACCCACCACATGTGGCTCCATATCCGCCCAGCCGGCCACCATATCATCGACCACCCGTGGTTTGGCTGACAGGGAAGACTTTTCGTGACCAGTTTTGGTCTTGGGCTTGTGTCAAAACATCAATGACACCCCCAAAGCTTGGTTTTGGTGGTGTCATTGATGTTTTTCCTGATTGGCAGTGGTGTGAGTAATGCTGGGGCGACCTTCATCCAGTTGTCTTCTTGGGGTGGAGCAGAGGTCAATATAGAGCCTGTTGTAGATGCCCTCCAAGAACATCATAGAATGTCCGATGCCCTTGTCCGGAAGTGGAACATGACTTTTGCAGATTTTATAAGACATGGTTTCTTTTTATCTCCTTTTTCCCCTGGAACCACACTTCTGTCTCTAAGGTAGGCCCATATGGTCCACCACCTCCAGCATATCCCTATCCGGGCTACCCGCCCCCTGGCTATGCTGCGCCCCGCTATCCACCTCCCCAGCGCTCAGTGGAGCGCGGCCCCACCAGCGATGCTCGGCCGCCCGAGCCGCGCTCCTTAAGCTATGCAGAAGAGAAGCCGGCGGCCTACCAAGCCTTTAAGACTCAAGCAGTGCGTGTCAGCTCGGCAGGAGCAGAGGTGAGCTTGTCCAATGGTATGTGCCAGGATCGACATGTGGAGGACTTCCTCCTGTGCTTCCAATGCTGGCTGGGAAGGACTTATGGAGATCCCTCTGCTGGGCCCTGGCGCCTGCGAAGGTTAGATCTCTCCCGGAATTCATTGAGTGATGCTCACATTGAACCAGCCCACCAACCTTTTTGCTCTTTTTTGGAGTTCGAGCATCAGTAGACTTTAGCATCAAAAATCGTCGACTTGTGCTCAGGATGAAAACATTTGCGCGGTGATGGATAGCATGAAGAGCTCTGATCTCCGGGTGGAGCGGATTTTGCTCGCGGGAAATCGCTTGAGACAGAACGGGCTGGCTGCGGTCACCGAATACATTTGGACCTTGGAATTCTCAAATTTGACCCAACAAATCCAATTACCGCTATAGAATCATACAAAAACTAAATAGTTGGAGGCTCCTCTGAAAACATATACTGTAGTAGTGGTAATTGGAATTTGCTGGAAAGAGATGTTTTGTCCCGCTCAAGACGAATCAGGACATGCCAACACCAGCAGTAATACCTTGTAGAGGAATATCCATTTGGTATCCAAGTCTGTATGTAGTGACATGTTCCTTTTTCAGAGCTCATCACATACCGACATGTCGATGGTGTGTCAGTGGTGCAAGAACATGTGAACAACGGACATCCTTCGTCCGTGTCATGTGTCACAAGAACGGAGACCTCCGATCGGTTGGGTCTCGAGGAATTGCCGAGATCCCTTGGTGGAATTGGATCTGTCGGACAATGAGATCCCAGGTGAACCCGGTGAATCGGATGGTCTCAGTGCTCTCTTGCGATGCTTCTACAACCACCCCAGCTATCCAGTCATGCAGGAGCCTCGCAAGGCCCTGCCCTTGCATTTGAGCATGGGAGGGAACTACATCAGGGATGCTCAGAGGCTTTTAGACGACATCATCGCGAAGGGTAGCAAAGATGGAAAGGCTTTGATACGGATTTGCCAAGGCCCCGAGTCTTACCTTCAGGACCACGAGGAGTTCCTCTCCGTCTATTTGCCCAACTTCTTGCAGCAGAAAAGTGCGGAGCGTCCTCCTCCCACCGCCTCCGCTCCGGCCATCACCCTGCGGAGCCGCTCTCGCCGCCGTCGCCGGTCACGCAAGGAGGCCGCGGCGGCCGCGCTGCCGGCGCCCGCGGTCGCGCCG